TGTCGGAAAACCTGTTGGAAGTGTTAGAGAACGAGATGTTTAAAGACATGCAATGGTTGGATAGATTGGATTTAAGCCGTAATCGCATCAGCACTATATCGAAGGGTGCCTTTCAGCGTATGTTTCAGGTGGCCATCGATTTGAGTCATAACAATATATCAGTGATTGAATTCAAAGCTTTCCAAGACGTGGCAAATATATCCGATTTGAACCTCTCTTATAATCAGATCGAGAAAACACAACGAATGGCATTTGACTCAACGGATGTGACTTCACTACATCTCAATCATAACTTAATCGCAAACCTCTCGAGAGTAGACATCTTCGCAAACATGTCTGGACTTCGGTTCTTGAATTTAAGTCACAATCAGATCACAGAATTGGGTCGAAAAGACTTTACGCCCAAACGCTTGTATGAAATGCAAACCATTGACTTGAGTCACAATCGCATTGAAGACATCTCTGGCAATGTGTTTGAAAAGTTTGGATCCATTCGTACCATTGATTTGCGACACAATTTGTTGCGCAAAATCGGTTACTCATCGTTCGGAAGCACTCCAACACTTCTTGAGCTCGACATCTCTCACAACAACATAACAGAGATCACTAACGGAGGCGTCTCTTCATTGGTCTCCGTGAAGACTATTTACGCGAATGACAATCGCATCACTAAAATGTTTCCCATTTCTGTTGCCCTCAATGTCTTACATCTGGAGAGGAATAACATAACGACCGTTAGATCTAATATATTCCCTATGATTAACGCATTGCTGGCCATTCATTTGGATCACAATAACTTAACGGCTCTCGAAGACCATTCATTCGCCAACTGTTTAACGCTTCAAAACTTATCGTTAAGTCATAATCATCTGCAAGAAGTGCCCATCAGATCACTCAAGTCATTGAATTCACTTCAGTTCCTCGATTTGAGCTCCAATAAGATCCAAGCGATAAATACCCGGGCGTTCGGCCGAATGGGTGTATTGTTTGACATCCGTCTTGACTACAATCAGATCCAAAATATCAGTGAATTGGCTTTCGATGGTTTGCTGCAACTCTTGAGACTTAACATGAGTTTCAACGAAATCTCTGATTTAACGCCCGATGTGTTCACTAGTTTAGTGTCTTTGCAATCACTGGACTTATCGCACAATCAAATCAAAAAGTTGGAGAATAAAACTAACGGCATATTTGAGCCCTTATTGTCGATGCAATACTTGAATCTTTCGCATAACTCCATATCACTCATCAAAGACAAGTCATTCCCCTCTTCGCCGTGGATTCCCTGTAAACTCAAACACTTGGATCTCTCACATAATCTGATGCCAGTGTTGACCACTTATTTCGATAACGGACTCACGTGTGTCGAGTGGCTCTCACTTAAGGACAATATAATTAATGAGATCCAAACGAATGTGATTTCAAATTTGACTCAATTAACACATTTAGACCTTTCGGGCAATCAATTGAGAAAACTATCCAAAGGCTTGTTTGGAGACTCTTTGAATAGATTGAAGCGATTGTCGGTCGCGGACAACAAATTAACCGCTATTTTTATACAAGAATTGATTCAATTAAAAGCCATTCAAGAGCTGGACTTAAGTGGCAATCGTTTGCTTTATATAAACGAAGAATTTTTATCACAAATTAAATCCGGTTTAAAACTATATTTTAAAGGTATTACAGAATATCTTGTTTTTATTAGAATTTTATTATAAAATTATTTTTTATTAATCCATTAAATAACAGATAATCATCTGTTCTGTGACTGCCATTTGTTGCCATTACTCGCGTGGATTGTCACTGATGTCCACAAATCGGAACTGGAGGGCCGGCCATCGCTTGTCCGCGAGCACTGGTCATCAGTCAAATGTCGGGATCCGTTAATTCTGGTCAACGAATCGTTCGTTGATCTAAAACCCAATCAATTGATGTGTAAATCAGAAGTTTTGGACAAATATTCCAAACAATTTGTGGGCAAAAGTGATGTCAGGANGTTCGTTGATCTAAAACCCAATCAATTGATGTGTAAATCAGAAGTTTTGGACAAATATTCCAAACAATTTGTGGGCAAAAGTGATGTCAGGATTCGTGCGATTGAATGGTCCCGAAGGCGGCGAAACTCTTTGCGTGTCGTGTGGTTTGTGGTGAATCGCATCGAAGACATGGCATTGTTTAACGTTATCATCAGAACCGACGACAACCAGATTCTGGTCAATGAAACGCTTGATTATAACGTCAGGGAATACGCGGCCAATGGTTTGAACGATAGACAGGAATATATCGTTTGCGTCAATACAATGGACTCTTTGGGCCGACAAAGACCTCACACTTATTCCCAATGCATTCAATTCAATGGCAATAATATTAATATTGAGAATTACGCGCCGCAGATGTCTTCGCACAGACATCAACCCAAACACATCCACAACTCATCTGCAAATACCATATCATTAACTGATTATCATTTTGTAATTTCTATTCATTTGGTCTTTTATTTATTAACCAATCGTTTGGAAAGTAATTATTTCTAATCATTTATAATGTATTTAAGATTAAATCAATAAATGGATCATGTTCATTTCACACAATACACTATTCACTAATATTTGTTTGTAAATATGTGTTTAAATTTAAATTTCATTGTTTTTAAATTTTACACAATTTACTAATAATTGTTAATTTAAATAAAAAATTTTAAGTTTTAAACTTTTATTTCAAATATGAACAGAAAATTGATTTGAATTGAGTTTAAACGTAACTTAACGTAAATTAACATAATTTTACTATTTGTTAAACGAAATGTTGAGAAAATCAATAATTGAATTATAGTTTCTAATTATTAATTAGTTTTAACAGTGATTTGAATGCCTTTTATTAGTTTCAATCATTTCAACGCAGAATACAGTGAATCTGTTTTACGAGTTTTGCTATACTTTTACAATTGAATGTTAGTTGTATTCATGAATTCATAACTAATTCTGCATTTCTATTGGCCTTTCATTTGAGGGCAAGAATTGCGCACAAATTGTATGCATTTGTGTTCCAAAAAGTGTTCATTCATTACAACACAGAATACATGAATTCATTAATCGTTTGACAATTGAATGTCATTTGAATTGAATTTCCACTGAATTTGGTTTTAATTATAGATTTAGTGCTAATTTGTGGCCAAAATGAGTGAACACTTATCTAAAGGCGATTCCAATGAAGTGAAGACATCGTTAACTGAATTGCAAAACAGGAAACGACTGTTGACTCAAAAGTTGGTCAAAATTCAGGCAAAATCTCGTAATTTGAAGCAAAAACTGGATAATCAACGGATGAAGACATCGCTTCTCAACGATTCCAACCATCAGTTGGAACAACACTTGTCTTCACTGAAGGCTGAGTCCAACGAATTGAGTGAAAAGACCGCAACTCTTGAACAACAACTCACTGGAAGTCGTGATTGTGTCCAACGATTGAGACAACAATTGGTTGAGAAACGCAATCAACAGATGATTGTCGTGTAATTCACTCATTATTTACTTAACCATTGGATTCATTGACCACTTTTTCACTTTTTATTATCTCATTTGTAAATTAGGGATCAGTTTAACGGAGAGATCGACGAAATGAGCAAAGATTTCATGCGTTTGACGATAATTAACGTAAATTTAGTTTTGATTTGTAAACTCAGTGTTAATTTTATTTGTAATCAATGGTTAGAATCGTCGAGACATTGAACACAAAAAGAAGGCAATGGATGAACAACTGGAACACTTCCGCCAAAGAAAAGACGAGTGTATGTATTGATTAACAATTAAATGTACAAATAATTGATATTTCAATTGTTAAGTGTTGGAAGAGTTAAGAAATCATCACAACAGCCGTGTATACCACGACTGGCCGCTCGAACACCAACTCCTCTCACTGTTAGTCCCGTTTTGAATGGTTTTCACAATTAATTCAATTTGATTCTTATGTTTCGCACAATAGGAAAGTGTTTAAAGACGAGCACCAAATGCTTACACGAGATATGAATTACATTCAAAATTTGGGAAAATCCTGTTTTGAAAAACTTCAAAAAATGCGAAAAACTTATTTGTAATTTATTTTATAATTGCATTCATTTTATTTCCATTCATAAAACCTATGAATTATTTATAAATTTTCTTGTAATCCTTAGACGTGATCGACAAGCGGTTCCCGAACTCAAAGAACAGGACAAACGCGTGAATAATAGCCATAACAATGAAGAGTTCCAATCGGTGACCGACACCCCGAACGAAGAGCCGATGAATGGGACAGCAGTGGCCGCCGACCAGCCAATCGCTGGTATCCCAAACGCCGGTACTTTAAACCCCGGACAACGAATGTCTGTACGGATCAGTTTGGGTGACAATGTAGTGAATGTCGTGGCGAACGTCAGACTAGAGATGACATCCAGACGTCTGGAAGACGGGTCAGTAGTGACGGCCAATACCGGTAGAGTGGTTCTCTCACCCGTCTCTTTCACTGTAAGTATTGTTTGAAATGGTTTTACAATTAATTAAATTTGTTTCTTATGTTTCACACAAATAGGAAATTGATTGAAGACGAGAACCAATTGTTTCAAAAATACTCACAAAATTTCATTTCATTTATTTCTATTTTTTATT